TAATGTCCACTCTTAAATTGATTTGATTTTAAACAACCCTAAAGACTCATTTTTACCATCACAACACTCACACTTAAAAAATTTCATTAGAACATACTAATAATTGACATAAAATGTGTTTTCACCCACCCCAACCACATGCATATATACACGCTTATACATAAATAGATAAAGAAAAAATAGTACCCTTCATTATGGAAGAACAAATTTCTAAACGATACCAGATAAATTATAACTAAGAAGTTACCAAATTTAAAATGAAGAGGAAGATAATAGGATTCTAAATTACCACAATGACTGCTTGCCAATAGATATTCTTTGTCAAGCGTGAAGCTAGTCGTACCTGCAAAGAGTGAGCGATAGACAAATTTCTCTTGGACAATGGAGTAATTTTGGTCAAAAATCAAACTCAGACAAGTTCTCTCTCTCTCTCTCCCTCTCCCTCTCCCTGAACCATACCTCTCACACTCCATCTGTTACTCCCTCACTGCTCTTCTATCTCAACCATGGCGATTACTAAGCAGGGAAGGACGATAGCATTTTTGAAAGTAAAGGGCTACAAAGAAGGTAATTTTGGTCAAAAATCAAACTCGGACAAGTTGTTTTTTTCTTTTTTCTTTCGAACATGGATATGAGATCTTCAGGTTGAGTTTTGTTGTGACACTCGATTGGTAGGTATTTTGACTTTGTTTTTTAAATTACTCCATGTTAGATCAAGTGATCTATGAGTTTGTGTTTTGATTTTGTTGGTACAATTATTGTTTGTATGTATATCTTTTGTTCTTTTTCTATTCAAACTCTTCTTCAATTGAATCTGTAGTTGCTTCTTGTATTTTTGAAATCGACCGAACTCCATTGATAAATCGAAAAAGATGAACGGACTATTTCGAACCAACATTTAGTCGAAATTGGTTTGACAAATTCCCAACCCGAATAGGTTTAATCGAATGATGGATGAAGGGCAAACTCGACCTAGACCGTTCCGCACATAGGCCCTATTTGGTAGAGCTGTGGGAAAGTGATTATAGATTATAGCTTAAAATTATAACTTACAGCTGTGAACAAAAGCTGGTAACCTGTTTGGTGCAGTTGTGGGATTATGGATTTAAGCAGCAGAGTAGTGTTTGGTAAATAAGTTGTAAAATAGCTTTTTTCTGTATAATTGTCATTTTTTCCCTTATAAGATATAAAATTTGTAATTTCATTTATAATACATTTTTCTCTTTTTCTTTTTCATTTTATTTTCTTTTCTTTTCTTTTTTTAAATTTTTTTTTCTTCTCTTCTTTCTTTGTTAATTTTTTTAAATTTATTAATTCATTAAAATTAATATTCTTGTTCTAATTTATATTAATGTTGTGATTTCATTACATATTATCTTTCATATATTCATTATCAAAATTATTAATTTTTTTCTTCTCTTCTTTCTCTGTATTTCTTTTCCTTATTATTATTATTAATTGTGATTTTAGTATAAAAATTATCAATTGCCCATCAATTATTAAAATTAGTATCAATTATTAATTATTATTATTATTATTATTATTAATTTGTTCATCAATTATTAAAATTAGTATCAATTTGTCCATCAATTATTATTATTATTATTTTCATATTATTATTATTATTCTTTATCAATTAGTATAAAATTAATGGCTTAATTAGCATCAATTAATACTAAAATTTTTAATGGTATCAATTATTTCAATTAATGTTGTGATGTCATTACATATTATTTTATTTCAATCAATTGTTAATTTTGTTTGCAAAAATCATTGTTTTCATTTTTTATTATTTTGTTTTGTTTTCATTAATATCAATTAGAACAATTTTTTTTTATATTATTATTTCAATACCAAAAACTATTTCATTAATAAAAGTTAATACATTTTTGTTTTTAATTGGTAAAGAAATTACCAAATAATTTTTTTTTAATTATTATTTTTATTATTTTGTTTTTAATTATTATTTATTGATATTAATCGAAATAAATTTATTTTAATTGATTATTTTTGTTTTTAATTGGTAAAGAAATTACCAAATAAATTTATTTTTGTTTTTAATTTTTATTTTTTTTCTTCTCTTTCTTCCTCATGAACCATCCGTACGCCGGTGGTCTGAACCCTAGCCACCACCGCGATCTAGAACGGCAGAAAGGGAGTGCCGTCGACCTGAGCAACCATCGCCTGAACAGCGAGAGAGAGAGAGAGAGAGAGAGAGAGAGAGAGAGAGAGATGACGGCCTGAACAACCACCGCCTCTGACACCTCTTCTCTCACGACGGCAGATCGCAATGCGTAGGGTTTTCAGATCGCGATGACGGCAGTGGATCCAGGCTGTCGATTGATCAAGACTGTCGATTTGCCTTCAGATCGCGATCACGATGCCTCTCTAAGGCGATGATTGCCACTCTCATCGATCTGAATCGAACACAAACAGAGAGAGAGAGAGCGCTAGGGTTTCAGAGAGCTAGGTTGGTCGAAAATCGCCTCCCTTTCGCCGGAAATCGCCTCTCAAAGGTGTGAGAGAGACATAAATGAGTTATGTTTGGTTTATATACGTGTTACACTGGTAATAACTTGAAATGGTGAGGGGCATTTAAGTCATTATACACCTTAAGGCTCAGCTGCGCGCATAATCAGTTTGGAAAAGCACCTCTTAGCCCACTTAACAAATTATGCGTGAAATGGCTTAAATTAAGCCATAATTCATCCCTCATAATTTTTACCAAACACTCTAATATGACTTATTTTAAGTTATAAGCTGATTTAAACTATAAATAAGTTCTACCAAACGGCCACATAGCCCCGAGTTCGGATCCTCTCCAGCCAAGACTCCCTCCTGTCCTCCGGTCAAGGGTCACGATTTGGCCACGTGGCCCTTTTAAGATCTACGGCTCAGAAAAAAAAAAAAAAAAAAAACAAAAAAAAATTTGAATTTTTGATTTTCGACCCAGCACAAAGCTTCCCTCCCATTCCATTTTCCCTCCTCTTCGAAGCTCTTTTTCCCTCCTTCTTCCAAGCTCTGGCGATTGGCGAAGTCGACGGCAAATCAACTTGAACGATCAACGGTGAACATCGACGGTGAACCAAGCTCCGGCGAACCAGAGCTCCACTTCGTCATCAACTGAAGGTAATCTTTGTCATGGCTGGGCAACATTGTTATTAAGGAACATTAAGGAACTTCCTGTGGAGTAAAAAAACTGATTAAAAATTGATTACGTTTTTAAGGAACATTAAGGAACATTGTTATTAAGGAACATTAAGGAACGCACACAGACTACACCGCTGTCTTCATCTTGTAATCATAAGTAACTGGAGCTGAAAATGATTTCCATAACTGCTTCACAGTGTTTTTCGACTAATCTGCTAGATTAGGCCAGAACTTTTCCACGCTGAGTTTGCAAATAATAAGTCCATTACATTTTCAACTAGTGATCCTGGTTTAAGACTCTAGGAATTCAATCTCAACAGATCATTGATTCTAACCTATGCACAAATTTCCCAAAAGCCGATAACATAACATAACATATAGCATAGTAGACAATTTAGCCACTAAAAACTACGAAGTCTGCAGAAGGATTTGTTAAGTAATTAATAATACAAGATGAAACCCTTCACAAATTTAAATGTCTAAAGACGAAAACCTGATAATAGTTCCATTCAACACAGGCCTGAATACCCCACATGAACAATATCACAAACTTAAAGCTAGGAAGGCTAGCATTGAAAAAAAAAAAAAAAAGTGAAAATTGAGCCAACATTAAGCACCCAAAGATACACATCCAATATCAAATTCTTGTTAAGCCAGGGAAAGCCTAATAAAATAAAAAAATAAAAAAATCATGTTTCAGGCCAAAAAAAGAACAACACTAGAGCTCAGCCATGATTCATCTAAAACTAGTTAGGTTTTGATAATAATTAATGGGAACAGTACATTAACTAGTTAGGAAGGATACTAGTTAGGCTTGAATTTGTTTGCTGTCATTGTTCTGTTGTGAGTGGACCATGTCACAAGACTTCCACTATCTACTTCATTAACCTCAATAACCAAGAGAATGACTTATGTTCTGTAATCCATCTCCCTAAGTTTTTAACTCTTGAAACAACAGATTAATACAAGGAAGATATAAAAATCACCTAAACCATTGACATATTGTTGTCTATAAGTTCATTCAAGACCTGCACTTCTTTGTAATTGGAGGTAATGAAGAACAATAAAAAAAATGATTGTGGTTGAATGAAGCTATAAGTTCATTTAAGTAATGTTTCTAATTATTGTTCTCCCATTTGATTGCCTCTACTTTTCAGTTGCGTTTTTATATGGATATGGAACCTGACAATGATTGTGGTTGGAAGCCAAAAGTAGGAATGACCTTTGATTCGGAAGAAAGTGCGTACGATTTTTATAATGCATATGGAGGAAGAATGGGATTTAGCATAAGAAGGGAATATTGTAAGAAGAACAAGTTAACAAAACAAATTATTTCTAGAAATTTGGTTTACAACAAAGAGGGATTTCGGAAGGTTGACAAGCGAGACCCATTGACAAAAACCCCTAGAGCTGAAACTAGGACTGGTTGTGAGGCCCGACTTTTTGTTAAATTGGATGTCAATAGTGGGAAATTTGTTGTGATTGATTTCAAAGAAAAACACAACCATGAACTTGTATCTCTTGATTGTGCCCATATGTTGCCATCGCAAAGAAAGATATCAGATACCCAAGCAATTGAGTTAGACTTAGCCTCAGAGTCTGGTCTTCGTTTAGGGCAGTCTTTTGAACTGATGGGTAGGGAAGCTGGAGGGTAGCAGTCTCTTGGTTTTATGAAATTAGATCAAAAAAATTACTTGAGAACCAAAAGACAAAAAGGTTTAGCGTATGGGGAAGTAGGTAATGTGTTGCAATACTTTCAACAAAAATCTTTGGAGAATCCATCTTTTTTTTATGCTTTCCAATTAGACAATGAAGAGCAAATAACGAATATGTTTTGGGCCAATGCATAAATGGTCATGGATTATGTCCAATTTGGCGATGTAGTTACATTTGATACTACCTACAAGTTAAATGAAGAGCATAGGCCATTTGCATCTTTTGTGGGATTTAATCACCATAGAGAAACAGTTGTCTTTGGTGCTGCATTGTTATATGATGAGACTGCCGAAACATTTGTATGGTTATTTCAAACTTTTTTAGAGGCTATGTCCAAAAAGGCACCAAAAACTTTGTTTACCGATCAAGATGTTGCAATGGCTAAGGCCATACCCATTGTCATGCTTGACACGAGTCACCGTTTGTGCACTTGGCACTTGATGCAAAATGCATTAAAGCATGGTAATTGTCTCTTTCAAGATAAGGGGGTGAAAGGTGTATTAAATAGATTCATGTTTGATATTGAGGACGAAAATGAATGGGAAATGAAGTGGGGGGAAATACTTGATACATATGATGCTCATGACAATCATTGGTTGAAGTTGATTTTTGGGGTGAAGGAAAAATGGGGCTGGCCATATGTTAGATCAACATGGGCTGCGGGAATGAGTACAACACAACTTAGTGAATCTTTTAATGCATTTTTGAAGGATTACATTCGTTCTGATTTTAATTTAAATGAATTCTTCATGCATTTTGAAAGGGTACTTTGTGAGAAACGGTACAAGGAGTTAGAAGTTGGATATGCTTTATGCCAAAGGTTGCCAAGGGTGCGAGCGTCATTCATAATGTTGAGTCAAATGGGTAATGTGTACACTAAAAATATTGTTGAGGAGTTTCAAGATGAGTATTTTCTTTCTGTTGAATCAGACATACTTGTCCGTCAACAGCTTCTCCTCTTGCTTGTTTGGTCCACCTCTTCAATAATGTATTGTGAAGGAATCTCTTTCAACTTCAAATATTTCTCTCATAACCTTCAAATAGTGACTGCAAACACCTTTCCTTTCAAACTTTGAACAACTACAAGCAAAGAGCCTCCATCTCCATCTTCACTTTCCTTGCATGTTTCCTCACAATAAGCATCAAACAAACTTGTATAGGCTACACGCATCAATGTATTCAATTGCTTGT